GGGCCCATCTCCTCTCCCCTCACGCGACTCCATCACCTTCGCAACAGCTGCAATTACCGAGCCGATAATCCCGCTGGAATGGGTGCGGCTCCCCGCCCTCCAGCCTCCCCCTCCCCTGCCATGTTGGTGCCGCACCCAGCAGCGCCACAGCCTCTCTGCTCACGCCGGAGCTGGGAGCGAAGGACCCTGGGGTGGCCAGGGCACCCCACCGCGGCCGGAGACAGCAGCTTGGCAGGGGGGTGCAGCAAAGCTGCCGGGGCTGCAATAGGCCCCATGTGCTACCCCAGCAGCAATGCTCTGTGGCCGCTTTCCACCACCCTGCACAGCTCCTGGCCTCGCTGAAGAGTCCCGCAGGCTAATTGCACATTGTGCAAGCAGCTGTTTCCTTGTCTCAGGGTAATTAGGACAATTGCATCTGCCCTGAGACTGCCTGGGAGCAGGTGACATAGGCCTGCTCTAGCCCCTTGCTCGCGCATCGCCCGGCTGGGCTGGGGCAGCTGCTCCAGGCACTTGGGGAAAGGGAATTGGCCCTCTCGGCCCTGCTTCCGCTCCCCGGGACGTGTTTCCATGGGGTTGGATGCCAAGGGCCCCACCTCTGCCTTGACCGCATCAGCACCCCCTCCCACCCCGACGGCCCCTGGGCATTCGTGTCCCGTGCTCCAGGGACGAGTCCTCCAGGAACGGGGAAGCGGAGGTGGGGCGTGCTGCTGCCTGCCACGTGCTCGGGTGGGGTCTGGAGGGCCTGGCTCGGGGTGGCGACAGGATGGGGCCCTGCAGGCACTGGCCCTGCTGATGGGGGCACCCGGCGGGGCTGCTGGCCAGCGGTTAGCAAACCGGCCTCAGAGGCCGCCCGGTCCGGTGCAGACAGGGCAGGGCTGCCAGGGAGCCGCGGCTGCAAAGCCGAGAAGCGTCCTGAGGCCGAGCAGCAGCAGGTGCAGCAGGCAGGGAAAGAGAGCAAGAGCTGGACGGGGTTAAAGCTAATCCATGAGCGACGTGGCTGGGGGCAAAGCCCCACTAGTGGGGGTGTTTGCAGAGGCCCCGGGGGTGTCAGCATTGCGGTCCAAGGCAGTGGTAAGGCCCCTGAGGATATCATGTGTGGCTGCCTGGCCTGTCCGCAGAGAGACCCACTGAACCTGGGGCAGATCCAGAGAAGGGTCACGCACCCGGGAAAGGGGATGGGGATCCCGAGGGACAATATCATACCCGATCCAGTGGCTGGACACAGGTCACAGAGCACTTGGGTTGGGAGATATGGGGGGTTTCTGCCCCTCACAGGGGTGAAGTCCTGGAGCGGTCGTCCGGGCACCTCAGTGGGGCCCAGAACCCAAACCCCGTGGAGGGCCAGGCCAGTGCCACGGGACAAGGCTGCTCCCGGCATGGCGTGGTGGGCATCGCACCGGTGGGTCTGAGCCTCTGGGATCCCCGTGACGGGGTGGAAAGGGATGGTCCTGGAGCTGCGATCGGGGGCTACGGGGCCAATACCCGGCTGGCAGGAGGGGCTTGCGAGTGCCTCTGCAATCAGCCCAGGCGTCCCTGCATGGTTTCATGGGTGCCCCAACTGGCCCCTCCGGAGGGCTCGGCGGGGAGTGCCGTTCCTGGGCCCCTGGTCACGGGTGGCGCGTGGCACAGCCACGGGCCCTGCCGCAGCCGAGTTCCCGTCCGACTGGTCTCCCCGGCTCAGGCTCAGCCTCGCCTCTCTGGTGCCGCTGGGCGCGGGGGTGCTGCTCTCCTGGGCGGGGAGAGCCAGGCCAGTTTGCAGGCAGATGGCATTCGCTGGGATTTGGGCTCCAACACGTCCTGGCAGGATGCTGAGCCAGTCCCGCCCCTCCCACCCCGCCCTCCTGCCTGGCAGCTTAAACCCCCGCCGGTCCGCCCCGCAGACTCAGAACCGCCTCCCAGCAGCACCATGAAGTCGGGCATCCTCCTCCTCCTCCTCGTCGCCCCGCTCCTGCTCTGGGCTAAGCCGACGCCGGCGACAGGTGAGCGCCCAGCGCCGCACCTCGGGTGCCAGGGGCAGGCGGCGCCGCGCAGCGCTTCTCCCATGGGACGCGCTCCGAGTGCGCCAATGCGGATGGGAGGAGCGGGGCAGGAGGGGCCTGGGGCAGGCTGTGGCCATGCTGGGGCGATGGGACAGGGCTGGGGCAGTGCCAAGCCCCTGGCAGCCCGCCCCGTGTCCCTGCGGGGGAGCTGCCCCCAGCACAGCCCGCTGAGCCCTGCCCCGTCTCCTTCAGAGAAAGCCGGGTACTGCTCTCGGCAGCCGCCCCTCGGGGGGGTGTTCGACGAGGAGCCCTGCAGCGCCTGCCTCAAGGACCAGTCCTGCTCCAACTGCTCCAGCGATGCCGACTGCCCCGGCGAGGCCAAGTGCTGCCCGGGCGACTGCGGCTTCACCTGCCAGGCCCCCGTGAAGGGTAAGGGCGCTGCCCCGGGTGGGCAGACTCCAGGTCCCAGCACAGGGCGCAGGAAGCTGGGCTGAAATGGGGGTTCCCCGAGCTGTGCGCCCCATCCGGGGCAGGGTGCAGGTTCCCCAGGGTGCGATGGGGCCCAGGGGCCCAGATGTACGTGCTCCTCGGGGCGTGGGCTGCTGCAGCCGGGGCGGTGTGCCAGGGAGCGGTGTCTGTTGTGTGCATGGGCCGGGAGCATTGAGCGGGGAGGGCTCCTCTCCTGCGTCTTCCTGGGCACCTCAGAGATGCTGCCCGGAGACATCCCTCCCCAGGGGGTCGGGGTCCCGCTCTGCTCTCCCCGGGGCGGTGGTGGCATCGGATGTTCTCTCCCTTGCTCCATTTCCACCAGCTCCAAACCAGCCCTCGTGGCATCCTACGACGTGTCCTAGCACCGGGCTCCCCTGGGAAGGCAGGGGCAAATTGCCGAGGGTGGAGGTGGCGGGCTGCTGCCCTGTCGCTCTCGGTCTCTGGGAAGTAGATTCACCTCCAGAGGCAGAGGCATCCTCCCCCTGCCCAGCTGGCACAGGCCCCTCGCTGCTCAGGCTTTAAATACAGGCCTTGTCAAGCCAGCGTCCAGGTGTTGCTGCCCGTGAGAGGCACCCCGGGGCAGGGGCTGGGCCGTGGAGAGGGGGCATGACCATCCCACTGCAAAACCCTGACCCTCAGGGCTGCGCCTGCACCGTGGCCATCGGGCTCCTGCTCCCAGAGACCTGCTTGAGCCGGGAGGTCCTGGGCTGGCAGCAGTTTGGTCAGAGACCCCAGGCTGTTGGCTCCTGCGGTTTTGCAGCAGGGAGACTCGGGTCCCTTTGCAAGGGGAGGCCGAGCAGACCATGCCTGGTGCAGCCGGGAAGGAGCGGGGCAGAGGGCTGAGGACCCTGCTTGCGAGAGTGCCCCCGGGCGGGCGCTGGTCCCCTCCTGCCTGCGGCCCAACCTGCCGCCTCTGCCCGCAGACCTCTGCCACCTGCCCTCGGTGTGCGGCAGCTGCAAGGCGCTCTTCGTCCGCTTCTTCTACAACTCCTCCAGCCGGGCCTGCGAGGAGTTCGTCTACGGTGGCTGTGGCGGCAACAAGAACAACTTTGAGACCAAGGAGGACTGCTCCAAGGCCTGCCAGCACCTGGGTAAATAAATGCCTGCACAGCGCCGGGCCCAGGGCTGCACCCAGCTCACTCCAAGGGGGCTTCCCCCTGCAAGGCAGGACCGTGGCCCGGCCGAGCCTGGCAGCCCCCAGCAGGGTCCCGGGTCTGAATGGCTGGAGCGGGGATCGCGGAGGACAGCTTTGGGGTCTGTGCTGCACCCCTTCTCAAGCCCACTCCTGTGCGCCAGGTCTCTGGGCTCCCGCTGCCTCTCCCCAGGGTGCCCCTGCCTGAGGGAACAGCCCGCACCCAGGTCCCGACAGCCCGTCTATCCCGGCCAGGCAGGGAGGGCAGGTGCCAGCCTCTCACCCTGTCCCAGTTCAGGGTGAAAACGAGCTCATTCCTATCCAGTGCATAAGAGATTGCAATCAAGGCAGGGAAACCGAGGCACAGCCAATTGCACCTGCCCCACCCTGCGTGGACGCAGGTCCCCGGCCCAACCCTGACTGCTTTGTCTCTGTTTCAGACACTGCTTAGCCTGTCCAGAGCAGGGAGGGGAGGAGGAAGCCGCCCTCCCGGGTGACCACCGCGCTAGGCAAGACTCACAGCCCCCCCCAGGGCCGATACGGCTGTCCCTGCCCGGCCGGCGTCCCACGTCTCGTTCTTCCGGACTCGGCAATGAGGTTTCACCAGTGGCTGCTGCACTGCCAGGCCCAGCCCCAGCCCCGAGGCGTTGGCTCCCTGCCCGTCCTGCAGCTATGAAGGTCTCTGCGCGGCGCGGCGCGGCCGTGCTCCGCACAGGGAGGCACCTGCCCAGCAAGGGGAGCGGGACCCTGCCCACAACCAAGGCACTGTGCTGCTGGGCTGCAGCCCGGGCACAGGCGTGTGCGGTGCCAGCCTGGCCCCCTTCCCGCAGAGGGCCCAAGCTGCTAAATATACGGACAGGACCTGCCAAACCCTGCTCTGGGCCTTGTCACTGCAGCCCGTGGGGAAGGGGGCAGCAGCCAGGGGCTTGCCGGCCTTTGCCCGGGCTCTGCCCCTGCTGCTGGGGCTCCAGAGCTGGTGGTGGGGACAGGTCAGCCCTGGCCTCTTCCCCTGTGGAGCCCCAATCATGACAGACCCGACGCTACCCCAGCGTGACGCCTCTGCCAGCTGCGGTGCAGCCGGTGCTACGTGCTCTCACGAGAGCATCTGCTTCCCTGAGGCCCCGGTGCTCAGGGTGCAACGGAGATGAGACACCCTTGGCTTTCTTCTTGAAGAAGGAGATTTCCAGCCCCCCGACTGGAGAGAAAAGCTCCCGGCCTGTGCTACAAGATGGGCAGCCCACTGGCAAACGCAGAGCCCAGCTGGGCTGGGGCATCTGTGATGTCTTGGGGCGATTTCTGCAGCTGCTCCCAGGCCAGCTGGACCCAGAGCTTGGTCAGGGCAGGCCACTGGCTGGGGACAGGGAGCCCTGACCTGCAGTCTCAGCTGTGCCACTGGCTGCTCTGTGCCCTTGGCCCTGCCACTTCGCCGCTCCACGCTCCCTCATACTGGAAGCTGCCCCCAGCACATGCCTGTTCATCCCCACACACACATGGCTCAGTGCTGCTGTACTGCAATCCCCCCCTGCTACCCTAACCCTCCCTCCCCCCAGATGCACAGAGCCCCCCCAGAGAGCAGGCCTTTGCAGCAGTACAGCTCAGGGGGCACCGCAGCTCTGTGCCACGGGGCAGAGAGCCCATGAATTGCACCCACACCCACCTGAGCCAGCCCAGAGGGAGCAGAAAGGGCAGGAGGGCATTTAAAGGGCTCTGTCCCAGCCCCCCCGCCCCCCATGGGGGGGTCCATTCAGAGGCAGGGGCTGCAAAAGCCAGTTCACGGGCCTGTGGCGGGGGAGAAGAGCGCTGGCAGACAGCAGCTGCTCTGCTCTGATGCCCAGGGTCGCCCAGTCCAGTCTGCGCCGGCTGACACGTCCTGAGGATTGCAGCAAGTCCCGTGCAAGTGAAACCAGCCCCCTCCCCAGTCCTAATGGACTCCCCTGCCATGTGATGGGAGGGGGCAAACCCTATAAAGGCAGGCTGCTTTCCCCCAGCTCCTTTTTGTGTCTCTATGACCCCCATGGCAGTGATGCGGGCGGCGCGCTGGGGGGCGGGCAGTCTGCGAGGCTGGGTGGCTTGGGTGAGGCTGGAAGGAAGCTGCTATCGTACAGCAAGGGACTAGCTATGGCCAGGCAGGGAATGAGGATACTCCGCCGCATGCACACACACGTAGGTCAGGCCTGCTCAGGGCTTTACAGTGCTCAGCAACATGCACACGCACATAGGCCAGGTCTGCTCCAGGTTTTGCCATGCACACGCATGTGCATGTGTGCTTAGCTCCATGCCCCAGGGCGTACCGGCCAGCCCGTGGGCTTGCTGCTGCAGTGCTCAGGGGCTAGGATCGTACCCCGACAAGCAGGGAGCCTGTGTCAACCAGGCGGCAGCTGCAACCGTCTCCCAGAGCAGTACCATGGCTGGGGACAGGCTGGAGAATGGCCAGGGTGAGGCCGGGGCTGCCCGGGGAGCACAGAGCCCCAGTGCGGCGATGATGGGAGGGGGAATGTCGTCCTCCACCCCCAGCTCTGCCTGCTGCTCCCTCTTGGTAGGGCACCGGGGTGCAGGTGCCTGATGCAAGGCGGGGCAGGACTGGTGGCACTGGGTGCCGTGCAGGGAGAGCTGGCCTGTCCCCCACCTAGCACGACAGGCAGGGCTGGGCTGGCCATGATCCAGGACAGCAAAGACAGCAGATGCTTGGTGCAGCCGCTCCCTTTATTGCTGCAGGCTAGAAGCCGCTGGGCTGAGCAGCCGAGGAAGGGGGACCCTGGCACCTGCCATCCGGCATCGGGGCCTCCTGGGTCACGCTGCGCCTGAAACCAGAGGAGCAGGGTTGGAGGAGCTGAGGGCTCCCTGCCCGGCCCCGGCTGCAGGGCGCAGGCCTGTTCTCCCCCCACCCCGACCCCCCACCCACAGGGAAGCTCCTTCCCCGGGCAGTCCCGCGGGCAGCCCTTCCTTGGCTCTCTGACAAAGTCAACAACGCGCAGCCAGTGTTCGCACCTCACCGACCAGTGGTTCTCGACCCTTTCAGACTCAAGACCCCTTGGCAAATGCCAGCTCTTATCTTTCACTTGTTTTCTGACTGCAGGCAAACACCAGCTCAGTTCTTCTGCTGCCAAGTGCTCAGAAAGGCCGCAGCAGGAAAGACTGGTTTTAACATCATGAAAATTGCTGGGCTGGAAATCTCTGGGTTCATCTTCTGAATCATGGGGGTGGCAGGCACCTCCAGAGGTGACCTCCAGTCCAACACCTGCCCGGGGCAGGATCAGCCCTCTCCAAACCATCCTCTGTAATCCAGACTTTTCATAAACCTGTTGTCAACCCTGATGCAACACACAACATGTGACTGTATTTGTCCACCTTTGGGACACGACACGTAACACCTGGAGCTGCTGCAGGGAAAGCAGGGCGACCACAACAGCCAAGACCCGGCTGGGATAAAAGCTAGTTCAGGTCCGCTCGAGAGACCCCAGGCAGAGGGCCCTGCCTTCCCGCTGCAAAGGAAGGCAACCCCCCAGTCCACAGCAATCAGGGCAGGGCTGAATTCCTGCCTGCCCCAAATCTGGCGTCGTCTGGCCCTGAGCAGAGGGGCAAGAGCCTCCAGCTTCGGGCCCAGCCCCAGCGCTGGCACAGGGAGGTGGCGGCTCAGCGCAGGAGCGCCCCCCTCTGGCCCGCCACAGGCTACGGCCTCCTACCGCCGGGTCTGAGGCAGCCCGGGGCGGGGAAGCACCGGCCTAGGCTCGCTGCGGCAAGACGCAGCAGCGTGGGCTGTGGACGTACTCTCCAGCCCAGCCCTGTGCTCAGCAGCGGGGATCAAGCAGGGAATTGCCAGCAGAAGCAGAGGTTGCCCTCAGGGCGTGGGGTACACCCCCAGCGCACCCCTCCAGCCCCCGGAGGAGACCGCAGAGCGAGGCAGGGCCCACCGAGCTGCGCAGGGCAGGTCTCATTCAAGGAGGGACCCAACGGGCTGGGGCTGTCCCGCTCGGAGATGAGTCGTCGGGGGGCTATAGCAGCAGTGCAGAGCTGGCGGATAGGGGCGCGAACCGCCAGCTCTTGGCTTTCGCTCTGCTTTTGGCTGCGGGGGCCCAGCGTACCTCTGCGCACGGCCACGCACTCCCAGGCGCAGCCAGTGTCACAGCACTTCTCGTGTCTCTGGCATATGCTGTCCTCCAGGCACTGGTTGTGGTGCCTCTCCTCCGGGGTGCCGCAGGCTGTCGGCTTGGGGCACATGCCGGGGTGGTCTGCAATACGGGGAGGGAGACGATGATCCTCTGCCCCCACATCCCCTGTGCTCAGGCTGGACAAGACCCCCGGGCAAGGCTGGCAGCACAGGGCTGCCCCCAGCTCTGAATGCCTCTCAGGGACACTGCCCCTGGAGATGGGGGAGCGGGCAGGGCAGCGGTACCTTTGCTGCGGGGAAGGCAATGCTGGAAGCAGCCGCCGAAGCAGCACTTCTCCTGCTTGGGGCAGTCCCGGTCGTGGGCGCACGTATCGTTCCCCTCGCACGGCACCAGCGTCTGCCAGGGCCTGACCTTGGGGCACTCGCCTGGCTTGGCTGCAGGGAGATGGGGGTCAGGAGCGGCTCGTTAGCATTGCCCTCCCCTCTTGCGGTTGCATCTCCCCTCCACGGCAGCAGCCTGGTGGGGCAGGGGGCTCCACGGGGCCCGCTTACCTCGATCGGGGGCCAGGCACGTCAGGCCACAGCTGCTCTGGCAGCACTTCCTGTCCCCCGGGCAGTCGTTGTCCTCCTCGCACGGGTGCATGCACGGGGCTGTTGGGGCAGCCAGCGGGCAGATGCCAGGCTTCTCTGGGGAGCAGCAAGCAGAGAGTCAGGGGCCAGAGGCCAGCCACAGCCCCCCAGCTCTAACGCAGGCCCAGAGCAAGCTCAGCCCCTGCTAAGATGGGGTGACCCTGGGGCCCGTGTCTGCCCTCTTCTGCCACGCAGCTTGGGGGATGGATGAGATCTTGTGTCCGGGATGACTCCTCACCCATCACCTCCCTTACCCCAGCCCAGCCCAGCCCATCACAGCTCCACGGAGGAAGCTCTGCCACTCTTTGGGGGCATCACCTTGGCATTGCAAAAAACCCCAAACAAAGCAGCTTCCCCATTCGGAGGAAGACGAAGCCCAAATCCATCCTTTGCCCCGTAGACCCTGATGTGATTGCCCCGTGTGTCTGGGTCCCAGACCTGCGTGGCGGGCATGGCGCCCACGATGCCCTCCTCCTACCTTTGGAAGGGGTCATGCACTTGTAGTCGCAGCCCTGGAGGCAGCATTTCTCGTCCCCGGGGCACTCGCCGTCCGCTCGGCAGGTGGCCTTGCAATTGTAGGTGAAGTAGAGCCCGGGGGTGATGGAGCAGTAGCCGGGCTTCACTGAGACAGGGCAGACAAGGGCAGGGCAGGTCAGCGCCACGGCGAGCAGACCCGGGCACCAGCAGCTTGGCCTCAGGAGGGTGCCGAGGGGACTCACGCGAGCTCTGGTCCACGCACTCCCGGCGGCACCGCAGGCTGCAGCACTTCTCTCCTCGGGCGCAGTCGTGGTCGTAGAGGCATCGCCGCTCGCAGTCCCCCGCCACGGGGACGGGGACGGGGCTGGGCTCCTCTGCAACACAGCACACGGCAGGGGCAGGGCGTGAGCAGGGCTGGGCATAACG